GGCAGGTCTGGCATTTGGTACGAAATGGCTTGGAGCAGTCTAGGGTTTTCGGAGCCTGGCAGTTAGTTTTTGTTTTGCTCTTCGTTGCTAGTTGTGCTGAGGTTTTTCCTTGGCAGCCTCAGCTGGTGCCAGTCTCCCGTATGGGGAGGGGATGGCAAGCAAGGATGCATGAGGGCTGGAGGAGAAGCGTGATGCCAAGCATGGCAAGTGCTGGCGGTCAGGGGTGAGGCCTTTCCCCTTGTGTCTGTACCCTGTGTGTGCCCTTAGTAGTGGGGAGAGGTGCTCCCTTGGCTGGACGTGTAGGGTGGGAATGCCTCCGCAAAGATCAGGACCTGGACAGGAGTTCAGCCCAAGGAGCAGAACTAAACACAGGAGAAGGAAGCCACTGAGGAGAAGGGAGAGGGCGAAGGACTGGAGCAGAGCAGTGGTAAGGGAGCAAGACGAGCAGGATGCTGGAAGGTGCTGTGGGATGGTGGGGGTGTCTGCGTGTGGTGGGAAGGCCCTGGTGTGGGACCTTGTCATGAGTTCCATTAGTGCAGGCAGTTACGGTCACCCGGGGTGTTGCGGAACCTGAGGTTTCCCTCGTTTCTTGCGGTGGCTTGCTGTGGACAGGGGTCCCTCATCTGGCTCTACGCGAGGCTTGAGCATCCCTGCCTACCCCTGCCACTAGCTTGTTTGGCTCCCCGGGCCCCTGGGCTGGGTTTGGTCCAACATCTGGGTGCTGGTGTCTGGCTTTCCCAGGTTTTGTTGGAGCAGGAGTTTGGTGCGCGTCTCTGTCTAGCCATTTGTCTTCCCACAGGCTCTCCCACCAGTGCCGGGAATGGCTTGTCCCGTGTCTGTGTGCTTTTCTGTTTGTCTTGTTGCGTTCAAAGTTGCTGCAGCATTTCTCTCCTCTTCCCAGAACTGGCAGGAGACCTGCGTTTGCACATTAAAATTGCTTCCTTTGCTTGCCGAGGGAAACTCCCAAGTTGGCTCTGGCTGCACGCTTACAGCTATGGGGGGCGGTGGTAAAATAAATTTGCTTGGGAGTGTTGGCAGGGAGGGTCCACTGTCCCCAGTGCTGTGAGTCCTCTGAGTTGTTGATAGTGGCCATTGCCTCTTTTTGTGCATGTGCGTGTGGAGGAGCCATCTTGCCAGGGCTTCAGGCCTGTGAAGCACACACTTGGCAGAATAGGTGAAGAGACCCACAGGTGGCAGCGGAGGAAATGGGCAGCCCTGTCGCGCCTTCCCATTTTGTCTCGTGTGAGGCCTCTGCCTCTGTGGCGTCACCCGTCTGGAGCCTGCGGTGGGTTGGAGCTTCCTCGGACCACCGTGACGTATTTGTCTTCTTGTCGGACCGCTTCTTCACACTTGCTCTTTCATGTTTCCAGGTGGTTTTGTGTGTGCACCTTTTGCAGGTGGCGTACCCCCTCCCCTTTCCAGCTGTGAGGTTGAGTGGAGAATGAGTCGCACGGTTGTGGCTGTGGCGAGTAGTGCCTGCAGGAGACGAGGGGTCTCCTGTGGTGGTTGCGCCGTATGTGTGGTGGTTGCTGTGATTGGTGACTCCTTGATTGCCTGTGAATATGTGGCTCCGGGTGACCACAGGCAAGCCTTTGAGAGCTGAGTTGGTGGGTAGTGGGGCTGAATGTGTGTGGTGGGGGTTTGGAGAGGAGCTTTCCTCCTCTGAGTTTGTGCCCTTGTGTCCCCTCTTAGAGCTGATGAGGTTTTTGTTGTTTTTTCAGCTGCGTTGATCTCGGGGGAGGAGGATACAAGGGCATGTTGTGGCGTGATGATGGAAGGTGGAGGAACAGGATGGTGAAAGGTGGGCTGGGTTAGAGTTGCAGGGGTGGGATTTGCCCTGGTGATTTTCAGGTGGGGGAGGTAATACCTCGTGTGGGATAGTGTCTGCAGCTCCATGCTTCCTGGGCAGTGATGCTGAAGGAGGGGATTGTGGCCACCAAGCGTGCTCTAGAGCTGGGTGGTATAACCCTGGATTAGATTTTACCCTGGTTGTGAGTTGTTGTGTTTGTGTGAAGTCTCAAAATTGTCCTTGGCTGTATAGGGTTTATCCCTGGCATCTGGGTACAGATCTTGCCCTTGGATGTGCTGGGGTAGAGTAGTGCATGTGTGCATGTCTGCCTCTCCCTGCCTGTTGCCGCTGCCACTGGCCTCCCTTCCGTTCTGGGAACTGCACTTTGTTCTGTCTCTCTCTGGCTTTGTCACTGGTGTTCCTTTCTTGTTTGTTCGTGGGGTTTTTTTGTTTGTTTGTTTTTTTAAAATCACTCCAGCACTTTTTTTTGTTCTTCCTTTGCTCTTCCCAGGCATGGAAAGAAGGCCATGTTGGCACCTAAATTGGTTCCCCCTTTGGGGAGGGGCTTGACTGCACCCTGCCTACTTTGTTTGGGGGGTGGTTTGGAGGGGAAGGTGTCTCCCCCCAGTACTATGAGATGTGAATGATGTCCCATGTAGTAATTGTTTGTTGTTTTGGGGTAATGCCAATGTTTGGACCGTGAGCAAAAGAGAGCTTGAGGTAGAGGTGAAGCGACGTAGAGCCGCAACCATTTAGGCAGGCGACTGTACACCTATGGTGACTTCTGTGTCAGCGGGAAGGAGGCCTCTGCCCTTTCGCTGGAGTTGGGGGCAGAGCCTGTAGTGAGTAAGACGTTACATTGAGCGGCGTGGGATTGTGTTCCAGTAGGGCAGTTGCTTGTGCTTTGCACTTCTGTGTGGCCTCAGGAGATGCCTGTGTACCCCTGTGTGGAGAGGAAGGCAAGCAGGGATGAGACTGGGCTGGAGAAGGAGCAGCGTTATGCCAGGTTGGGTGAGTGCTGCATCTGGGGGTGAGCCTTTTGTCATGGCTGGATGGGTGCACCCTGGCCAGGTATGCCTTGGGGAGCTTTGAGCTGGGTGCGTGGGGTGGGAATTGTACCCGTTGGTCCCTTGGTCTGTTGACTTGTGCCCTTAGGGGTGACTGCCTGTTCTGTCCCCTTGTAGGATCTTCTCTAGTGTGGAGGGAAACGAATGCTGGTTCAGGGAGTGGAGCCGAGCAGTGGGGGAGGAACTGGGTGCTGTGAGGTGTGTTGGCATTAGATGGGTATATCCAGTAGTAGGCAAGGAGCTTGCTTGGAGTAGTCTGGGGTCGTGAAGTCTGGCAGTTATTTCTGCTTTGCCCTTTATGGGTCTTTGTGAAGAAGTTTTTCCTTTGTGCCCACAGCAGGTGCGCGCCTCTGGGATGGGGAGGGTTAGGGTTAGGATGCACAATGGCTGGTGTTGCAGTGTGATGCCAGCTGTGGTGGGTGCTGGCTCTCAGGGCTGAGGCCTTCCCCCTGCTGTCTGCCTACCCTGTGCAGTGTGTTGAGATGCTCCCTTGGCTGCATGTGTGGGGTGTGCATTTCCCCCCGGTGGTTCCCTTCTCCTGTGTTCTGTTCTTCCACTTGGGGTGAACACCTGTTCTCTCTGCTCTCTAGGTTCCTGGTGTACATGGAGGGAATGGTGAGGGCAAAGGGTAAGGGCGCCTGAGGATCAGGATGCTAAAAGGTGTTTTGCGTTTGGGATGGGGGGTGCTGTCTGGGTGTGGTGGGAAGGTTCAGGCAGGGTGTTGTCAGGTTTGAGGTTCCCTTCACCTCTAGTAGTGGCATGCTCTGGCCAGGAGTCCCTCATCTGGCTGTACATGAGGCTTGAGAATCCCTGCCTGCCTCTGGCACTAAGTGTTGTGGGTCCCTGAGCTGGGTTTGGTCCAACATTTGGATGCTGGTGTCTGACCCTCTCCAGATTTTGCGGGGGCAGAAGTTTAGTGTGCGTCTCTGCCTAGCTGGTTGTGTTGCCACAGGCTTTCCCAGCAGTGCCAGGCAGGGCTTGTCCTGTGTCCATGTGCCTTTCTGTTTGTCTTGTTGCCTTCCAAGTCACTGCAGTCTTTCTCTGCTCTTCCCAGAACTGGCAGGAGACCTGTGTTTGGACGTCTCAAGTGCTTCCCTTGCTTGCTGTGGGAAAGCCCTGAGAGGGCTCTGCCTGCACCCTCACAGCCATGGGGCGAGGTGGTTAAAAAAAGAAAAAAAAAAAATTGCCTGTGGAGTCCTGGCAGGAGGGGCTGCTGCCACCGGTGCTGTGAGGCCTCTGAGTTGTTAACCATGGCAAGTCTCTCTCTTTTGTCTGTGTGTGGAGGAGCCCTCTTGCCCAGGCTTCAGGACTGTGAAGCAGACACTGGAAGAAGAGGTGAAGAGCCCCAGAGATGGCGGAGGAGGAAATGCACAGTTATGTCCTGACTTCCCAGTTTGTGTTGTGTCAGGCCTCTGGCCCTGCGGCATCACGTGGTTGGAGCCTGCGTCGCGTCTGAGCTTCCTTGGAGCGGTGTGATGTCTTTGTTTCCCTGTCTGACCATTTCTTCCATGGTTGTTCTATCGTGTTTGCAGGAGGGATTGTGTGTGTACCTTTGCAGGATTATTTTTTTTTTATTATTATTATTATTATTTTTATTATTTTTTTTATTATTTTTTATTTTTTATTTGTGGTGCTGGGCTCTGAGGTTTGGGTGGGTTTTTTTTTTCCTCTCTTTGGCTGAGACTCTGGCTTGGAGTGGCAGTTGGAGTTGGAGCTGTTGCAAATAGTTTCAAAGTCAGACTTGGACTCATTCAAACACCCCACCACTCTGTGAAACCCTAACTATCCCCCAAATGCCATTAGCCTCAACTAAACCCTAACCTGGACCCCAGTACATTGGTAGAGCTGTTCCCTAACCCTTCCCCCCTGCCTAACCCTAACCCGGACCCCTGCGCACTTGTGAACCTGCTCCCTAACCCTAAAGTCCACGACAGAAGCAGAGCACACATGTCAGTGGAACTCTCCCTCTCGTTGCCTCTGTGTGTGGTGGACCATCTCCCAGAAAAATAAAGACACACATCTCACGTGGGAAATAATTTGGCATCAAAGTCACCGAATAACCAAAGAAAAACCAAAACACAGAACTTGTCTTTCAAACAGCATGGCCTTTATTTAAAAAACACACACAACTACGGAGGATTTCATCTGACCGTTTTGTTTCTGCTTTGCTTTATTACATGCAATTTGGGGAGTAAAAACAGCCATAACAATGTACAAAGACATGCCACACACATTGTACACCACAAAATGAAAAACAGAGCTGACATTATACAACACTACATAACAATTATCGATCTTGTTTGCCGCCGGCAGGTGGCAAACGCTTCTTACAGCACAATGACAGACAAAATGTTATTACACATGCACTTAAATAAACGTCTCTCACGGTTAAAGGAAGCACAAAGAGCCCCACACCAAAAGTGAAACGTTAACAACGTGCAAGACACTAACAAACAGGCACCAACACACTCAAAATCTCAGAACACCACCACCCACAGCCAAAGCACACCACAGCCCAAACACAACCGCGCAAAAAAGACTTGCCCCGAAAACCACTCTATTGCCAGCCACTTTTCTACAAAACACCTGCTACATCAGCCTCCATAGCCCACCTTCACTGCACACCACCTGCACAACCACAAAACCCAAACTTTGCCACAACTAAGCAGAAGCCAACAGCAAAACAGAAACTGCAACAAGCCAAAGCCACCAAAGCAACCTCGCAAGCGACAACAAAAGCTACAGAATAACCGGCCAACAAAATACCACCGCCACTATAACCAACCGCAGACCAGCCACCAGCACACACGCAAACCCAACGCACAGCATCTACACACAACACAGCAAAAGACAAACACCGCACCGACACAAAAACACCCACATGCAGGTCCCCTCCACCACACACGCAAGTAGTCTCCAAAAATTTTATTGCACGCCAACACGTCGCAGCAAGACATCTGCTCCTCTTCCAGCCGCCACCTGCAAATCATCAAAGGCACCAGTCAGCAACCCAACACATGCTCTCTCCCAAACAACCCGCCTCCCTCTCCACTCACCACCACAGCACCCACCACCACACCCCCCCTCCAGCCCCACAGGGCACAAAAGTTGCCT